GGATAATTTACAAAGGCTTTAAAAACACAGCAGGAGCCCAAGACAATTATAAAACTTGTCATTATTTCAGCACAGTTCAATTGGTTTTATTTTCATAAACGGTTATCAACCGTTAGTGCCAAAGCAGTAGGCTATAATATATTAATTACTGCTGTAGACTACAACCACTACTTGTTTAGCTAGCATAACCTCAACAAAGCTAGCGTTAGCTGGCTAACTGATGTTATTTTGCCGCTAAACTGCACGATATAAAACGGTGGTCTTCAAAGCGGATTTAATCCTCAATCACAATAATAATATTCAAAGTAATACTGGGCAAGTAATGGGCCAAACTTACCGTTGATTGACGCGCCATGTCAGCGGACTGGTAGCGACACGAACCGTTAGCCCCTCAGTCATCCGGTTCGACCTGACTGTGGCTGTGACTGTGTGACTGACCGACCCTCGTCGTTCTGATAGCGCCGACCCTTCGCTCCAACCCCCCTCCCTCCAACCCCCCTCCCTCCCCCCACATCTACAGGTGAAAATTACTTTTGTGACACATTTATCGCAAGAAGTGTAGCAAAAGTCAAGGCCGCAGATTCGTCGATTTATACTGTCACAGAGCAGATTCGTCAAGTTGTAATGACTGATTTGAGAGGTTGTAATAACCAAGTTGCAGTTGTAATGGAAAATATATATATTTTTAAATATGTATTTTTCTGCAAGTGAACATTTCATCACTAAGTTCCTTTTTTTTTCTACAAGCTACAACACTTTATTTCTTCTGTGACTTCAAATTTGGTTCACAGTTACGTGGATATTTTTTACAAGTGTACATGTGGTTCACAGTTACGTGGATATTTTTTACAAGTGTACATTTGGTTCACAGTTATGTGGATATTTTATACAAGTGTAAATGTATGCGCACACAAGCTCAGATTTTTTTTCTGCAAGTGCTCACATCAGGTTTTACACCCTCTCACATTTTGCACCATATCTACCTTCATACATAACTGTATCCTTACATTTTACATTCACTCAGTTATAATGTGGTAGTTATACGTAGTTTGTTTTAAATTATTATTGATCACATTATATAGTACATATTTCTTAATTTAAACTCCAGTATATATGAATATGTTTGGTGTGTTTTTTAGGTATATTTGTTATTGACAGAGTAAACGCTTTTATTTTGAAGGCAGTTTTTACAGGCCTCTACCGTAATGCATAGGATATTCGCGCACCGCAATACAACGTGCGGGCTGGCTTGACTGTTTTTTCCGAAGTGGGGGCTGGCTTGACCACAGTCTGTAGTGTTTACCCAGTGTTTCCTGACATGAAACGTTTTATTTCACGTTGCTATGTGTTTTTAACGTATATTAAAAAACGGGGACAGGGCAATACAAACGGGGACTGTCCCCGGAAAACGGGGACGTCTGGTCACCCTATGTTAAGATTCCATGGAATATAACAAAGGATTTCTGAAATAAATTACATATTCCACCTTTTAAAAGGCAAAGAAAGCGGAGGAATCGGCACAAGAGACATGTATCACAGACCATTGGACATCAGTAAAAAATATCACTTTCTTGGTATAAAGACGAAACAGCACTTGTTATTCAGGTGTGGTGAAAACAGAGAAAAGGCATTTTGTTGAACCATGCGTTTTTTTAAATTAATTTAATTAAAGTTGCACAGGAGTGGGCAAGAGCGGACAGGGTCGCTGTAGGAACAGATAGTGCTTGCAATAGGATAGCAGCAGAGATAATATGCCTTGTCTGTGTTAGACCAGTTGTTCTCAACTGGTGGGTCGCGACCCACTTTTGGGTCGTGGACCCATTTCGAGTGGGTCGCAGATGTGTGAGTGAAGAGAAAAAAAGTATTTTTTTACTTTTATTTTAAAGGCACGATTTTCTAACAATGTGCGTTGGACTGGAAGTACCGGAGATCAAAGAATCTCCTGGGGGAGTCTGAGAATCCCCCCAGACCCCCCTGCTGCGGTTGGGTTTTCAGCATGTGTTATACAGTTCAGCTTTGATTCCATCATCTTATTAAACCTTTTTTAAAAGCATACTTTAGTTCTGTGAAGGGATATGAGGGATATATGCACTGTACTTCACTTTAATTAATATTGTATGCTGAAAAGCGTATGTATTACAGCATGATTTTTTTGTTGAATGGATTTGAGTGGTTCAAATTTCGGGTCACGATTTATTGACAAAGGAAAAAGTGGGTCCCGAGGCCTGACCAGTTGAGAACCACTGTGTTAGACAGAGGGAAATCACAGCGGCTTTCTGTGTCAACGGCTTTGTTGTAGCTTTAGCTAAGTGTAAGAAAATGGTCGACTTCATGCCAAAAATTCCGGAATCATGTTATAATTAAATAAAAAGCCTTCTGATTTCTCTTACTAATTTGTCATGCATTTCTTTATTACAACACCACACATGTTTGAGTTATTGTTTTAAAGTAGTATTTCAACTTGAGATTGATCATTACAAATCACAGATTATTATTGTGATTAATGCAATAACATTTGTAATTCAATTGACAGCACTACAAATTACAGAGAACAACAACATAGTATGTTAATACATTTTAGACTGTCAGTCCTTCTACCAATTTTTTTTGTCTTACTTTTACAAAGGTAATTTTATTTATGGTTTGCAGAGTCTTGGTTTTACTAACGGCCACATATGTAGAGGTCAACAGTTGTCAGCTTTTCAAGAATTAGGTCTGCATTTATTCATTATCTACGTGACTACTGCTCAACCCAGATAATAATAAAAGCACTACAGATGGCAAGATATTTTGCCTCTTATAAGAAAAACGTGACAGATACTGAACATTTTCAGTACATTTCACAAAAGCTAATAGCAGAAGGTAAGATAGCAGTAAAACGTGTTTTTAAAAGGCACAGAAACATTACAAGGCTACATTTGTTCTCCCTGACGGTCATTACATGGCGTCAGGTCTTTTATTGCATTCCTGACTTTTCAAATACTTCTGTGATAAAACAAAAATGACAACAGTTTTTCAAACTCAAATGACAAGAATTTAAATTTCACCCCAGATTTAAAAAAACGGACAAAAAAATCGAACAGTAAAGTCTTAATGCACACCTGATAAAGTGGCTTGCATAAATTGTCAATTTAGTGTGATCAAGATTTTGTGGTATCGACAAGTTTGTTTTATTTTTGGTAACAAAAAATGCCAAGATATGTTTGTGGTATTTTAGAAACAATATCACTATTAAAAATGTAGTTAAGCAGAGAGCACTGTCCAAGTAATTTTCCACGTCCAAGAAAAGATAATATGCAGTGAGCCAGTCCTTATAACGAAAAGAACCATGCCATATTGTCCTGCCTATTACACAGCTTCTGACTAAATAAATCAATACATTGACATAGCACATTTCTGCCTCCTAATTGTCCAGGTCTGTTCACATTTTCTTTCCCATTAATAAGCCTTCAAACATGACCAGAGCCCATACTATGGATGGGTATCGTTACGATTTTAACGGTGCTACTACTCTTACCGATACTGCTTATCAATCTTATTTTATGTATAGAGTGGATTCTGGGCTCCTAGCACACATAACATCCCTACTAAAGTACTGTGCTTAAGTACATTTTGGGATACTTGTACTTTACTGAAGTATTTCAAGTTTTGCTACTTTGAACTTCAACTTCACTACAATTCAGAGGTAAATATGCTACGTGTATTCGTTTATGGTACTATATTTATTTAATACCTTTGCAGATTTGGATTACTGATGTGAAATATAATCAAGTGTTAAATCAGACTTTAGTTCCACCTGGAGTAAATTCACAAGCTACCCTGCAGTATACAAAGTCATTCAAACTAGCTGCACCTTTACCAGCTTTGATAACACTTCTCAATCATTATAAAAAATATCATATATATTATTCTGAAATGGACCAATCTGCACAATGACTACTTTGATGCTGATACTTTTGTACTTTTACTTCAGTAACATTTTGAATGCAGGACTTTTAATTCTAACAGAGTATTCCTACACTCTGGTACTTCTATATCACTCAAGTACAAGATCTGAGTACTGCTCCCACCTTACACGTTATTGGGCGTACAGAGCTTCAAGTTATGGCAGTCGCAAACTGGTCATTTCTCCCCCCCCCGCACACACAGAGAGAGATCGCTCTTATGGAGTGAAGAGGGCAAAAATAATGACATTGCAAATTGGTTGGACAAAATGTGCAAGATAACGTTTATGTCGAAATAATAAATATATTTATTTGTAATTGCTCCAGTACCGATAACATGAGAGCTTATAGACACCACGATCTTTAAAGAAGTAGCCCCGGGGCCCACTTAATACCGGGTTTAGTTACCAGTCCCTAGCCCAAACCGTGGCCGTTTCGCAATGTCGAGTAAACCTGCTGCAGAGCCACTATTTCAAGTATACTACGTCATCGAGTGGTGCCGAAGGAATGCATGTTAAATGCCCAGCATTCGGTGCCACTCGATGACGTAGTATACTTGAAATAGTGGCACTGCAGCAGGTATACTCGACATTGAGAAACGGCCCATGTTCCCTTTGGTGTATACTTCCTGTTTGTCTTCTGCTGTTCCCTTTAGCTTTCACTTCCTGTCTGTCTTCCTCTGCTGTTCCCTTCGGTGTTTACTTCCTGTCTGTCTTCTGATGTTTCATTTAGTGTTTGCTTCCGGTTTGTCTTCTGCTGATTTCTCTGGCGTCCAGCTCTATTTGTTTTGTAACCCGTTGACTTTTCTTTCACTGTATTCTTGTTCTTCTCTTTTTCTTTACCTTGCTTAGGACGGTTTAGCTAGCATAAATACGTTTTGTGTTCTTCACAAATATAAAAAAATTAATATTCAAAAAGTATCCCAGTTTTGGCCACAACTGATGGTTAATTGATCTAAATGGATAAATTGACCATCAGAATCCAGTATTCAACTAACCCGTCGAATATTTAAATACAATACGCATTGCTAATATTCTGTGTGTATCTGTGTTCTAGGTGACGAGGGCATTTTCCTTCACTAAGACCCCCAAGCGTGTGATCCAGAGGGCGTTCATGGCCAACAACACTCCTGATGAGAAAAGGCTGAGTTGTGAAAACCGCATCGGCAGCAGCGCCACTCTGGCTGTAAGTATTTCTGTTACATGAACGATAAGACACGATGCTCTCTCATGTCCAAGTTCATAGTGATTGAAAGTCTTCTTTAATTTCCTTTTTCTTTTATGATCAACATCATAACACAATTATTAGAAGGTTTTAATCTATTCGAAGTATCTTTCCGTATATCTGTTCCTAACTTAATTTCTACTCTTTCTATCTTTGCTGAGAAACCAGGCGATTGATCACTCGGTCAATCGATGATGAACCAGCTTTTAGTGAGTCTTGGTTGTTTTGATCCGGCTTAATAAAAAGAAGGAAAAAGGCTTGTGCGCTTAAGCATTTCAGGACTGTTATTTATTTGTTATTTTAGCAATTTACATCCTTTTTTTCATACTTTTCTAAATACTGTAGGTTAACCTGTTACGCCCTGAGCCTGTTTTTCAGGCCTCAGGCTAGAAAATTACATTCCCAGAACAAATTACTATAACTTCACTTATAAAAGGGGTAAATGAATAATATTTTTTCTCAAAGCAATGATAAACCTGTGAGTTGAATGTAGAAAAGTCAGAATCAATATAACATTTTTTTATTTTAAAGTAAGTTCAGATTGAACATAGTAAAAAAAAAAAATTAAATTATAGTGTCCGTCCAAAAAAAAAAACATTACTCAGTGAAAACCACCCTTGAATGATGGGATAGTAGACTAAAAGCTTTAGGAATCCAAACTATAACATATAAGTACCCTGTATCAAAATTGATGCAAAACAAGTGACATTTGACCTTTTTAGAGAGATTTAGAAGAAATAAACCACTTCTTGGGTCATTTGGGTGCATTTTCCACATCTCTAGCCCCCCTCGGTCGATTTTGATGACACCAATTTTGAACCGTTAGAGCCAATAGAATCGATGGGAAGTTCCTAAAATCCATCTAAACATTACCCATTGGTGAATGAGTGATGTGTAGCCAGAATGCCCAAAACCGGAAGCTGGGTTGTAGCTATAATAGTGCTAATAACAGCTAATATGAAATCTCAGTTTTTGACAAAAATGGAATGATGTTATATCAGTAATAATTTAAAAGTGACACAGAGACATTGGATTAACCTTCAGCAGCATTCTATGCGTTTTAATGCCATTGAACACAACTTTTGATCAGAAAACAGCAACGATAAGACTTATTTTCCCGTAAAGTCCCGTAAAGCTACGTTGTGTGATGTCTGGGTTTGCTTCCCCTGCCGTGAGTTTTGATCGCTCAGTGATGATACTTATACCCCTAGAATCTGTGGAATCTCAGCTTGCTAGCTGGTATATTGTTTGTAATAAAGTATTTCTACCGTGAGTTCTGTGCTAAGTGCGTTAGCATTTTTTCGCTTATTGCTAATTAAGAGGCTCGGCGTTAGAGTTGTGTTTTGTTTAACTAAAAATTGTTCATATCGTCAGTTAGCTGAGTTTCTTCCCGTTAAGTGGGTATGACACATTAATAGGTTGTTAAATATTAAGAAGCCCTGAGACTAGGGCTGCTCGATTATGGCAAAAATCATAATCTCGATTATTTGGGTCAATAATTGTAATTGCGATTATTAAATGCAATTATTCATTGACTTTGAAAACATTCATTTATTGTACTTTAAAACAAATACAAATAATAATGTGAACTTTTTAACTGTTGAATAATACGTTCAAGATAATCAACTGAAAAACCAATATATAATAAATTATAATAATAATAATAAATGATATTTATATAGCGCCTTTCAAGGGACCCAAGGTCGCTGTACATGGTGGACAAACAAAACAAACAGACAATCAACGGGCAAACCAAAGAAATAAATAAAGGAAGCCAGGGGACCAGAAAAGGGCTAGGGCCCGAAGGCCAGGGTGAACAGGTGTGTTTTTAGTGATAATTTGAAGATGTCCAGGGAGGCAGCATTACGGATCTCGGCAGGAAGTGCATTCCAGAGGGTGGGGGCCGCAACACTGAATGCCCTGTCACCAACAGTTCGGAGGCGAGAGCGGGGGATGGAGAGCAGGCCCGTGTCTGAGGACCGCAGACTCCGAGAAGGGGTGTAGGGATGAAGCAGGTCCGATAAGTACTGGGGGGCGAGGGTATGGAGGGACTTGTACATGAGGATGAGTGTTTTGTATTGAATCCGGGACTTGACCGGCAGCCAATGTAGGTGGATGAGGGTGGGGGTGATATGGTGCCATGGCTTGGTGTGGGTGAGAAGCCTGGCGGCAGAGTTCTGGACATAATGGAGGATATCCAGGGTTTTGCTGGGAGCCCCGGACAAGACTCCATTGCAATAGTCCAGACGGGATGTAATGAAGGCGTGTACCAGGGTTTCTGCCACAGAGTCAGAGAGAGAAGGCCGGATTCTGGCAATGTTTTTTAGGTGGTAGAAGGCGGATTTGGTGACAGATTTGACATGCGCCTGGAAAGAGAGGGTGGTGTCCAGGATGACTCCCAGGTTGCGGACTTCAGTGGACGGGGAGATAGAGCAGCCGTCAATGGAGAGAAGCAGGTCTCCAACCTTCTGGAGCTGCGTCTTGGGAGCCACAATCATGAGCTCTGTTTTATTGCTGTTGATTTTGAGCAGGTTTGATGACATCCAGTTTTTTATGTCCTGTAGGCAGTTGACAAAGGATTGAGGGGGGAGCTGAGTGGACGGTTTGGTGGAGAGATAGAGCTGTGTGTCATCAGCATAAGAGTGAAAGCTGAGACCATGTTCGCGGATGATTTGACCAAGTGGGAGCATGTAGATATTGAATAGGAGGGGTCCAAGCACAGAGCCTTGAGGTACACCTTGGTTGACTGGGCGGGAGGGAAGCTGCAGTCACTGATGGTGACAAAGTTTTTCCTGTTAGACAGGTAGGACTCGAACCAGGCAAGAGCTGTGTCACTGAGGCCAAGGTAGTCAGACAGGTGGCTGAGGAGGATGGAATGGGATATGGTATCGAAGGCTGCTGAGAGGTCCAGGAGGATGAGAATGCTGATGAGGCCAGAATCAGATGCGATGAGGAGGTCGTTTGTGATTTTGATGAGGGCAGTCTCAGTACTGTGATATGGTCTGAAGCCAGACTGGAGGGGTTCGTAGAGCTCATGCAGTGACATGTGGTGTTGCAGTTGTGCGGCAACTGCTTTTTCCAGGATCTTGCTCACGAATGGGAGGTTTGAGATCGGCCGGTGGTTGTTGAGGTCCTCCGGGTCCAAGCCAGGCTTCTTCAGGATTGGAGAGACTGAGGCAGTTTTGAGGCAGGGTGGGACTGTGCCAGAAGACAGGGACAAGTTCACAATGTCAACAATGATGGGGCAGATGGTGGATAGAGCTGCCTTGACCAAGGCTGTGGGCATGGGGTCAAGAGAGCAGGTCGATGTCTTGGCCTTAGTAACCAGCTTGGTAATTTGGATGACATCCACTGGGGAGAAGGTGGAGAGGCAACACCTAGGTGGACGAGTAATACCTTGTGGCTGGGGTGCGGTTGAAGTAGGTGGGGGGCCAGGCACCAGAAGCTGCTGGTGGATGGAATCAACTTTTGCCTGGAAGAAATCCAGAAACTTCGAGCAGAGATCAAGAGCACCTGGGGGATGGGGGGGATCAAGGGGGTGGAGAAGCCGGTTTATGGTTGAGAACAGCATTCTCGGTTGGGATTGTTGGATGTGTTATGGAAATCTAAGACCCAACACACTGGAGAGTACAAGTCAGAGTGATCAAAAACAAATAAATGGTGAATCAGACGGAGTTGTCTTTCTGGTTATTTATTTGAAGCTTCAAATACATAGATACAATACAAAATAAAGACACAGGTTCTACAGAGTATATGATAGTCTGCAGGAGTGTGCGCAGATATAATAGGAAAGCAAAGCTTATATACAGCAAAGGGTGGGAAGTGCAGAAATCTGTCTTCACACGGTCATATTGTTATTAGACACCTGGCCTTGAGCTGTAGAAGTTCTCGTGTGACTTTGTGTGAGTCTCAACCCAGTAGCCAAAACAGCTCTGTGGCCTTGAAGCTCTTGGGAATAAACCCACAGTAGAGTAGATAGAAGAAAACAGCACATCTCAGGAAATGAGAAGCATTTGGTTTAAAACATATAAGGATATAATAAAAATTTCCACGACATTCTCCCCTTTTGATCATACTTGATCAATAAAAAACCAAATGACAGGATAGACTGATATAACACATCAATGAATACACTCCATCGCTGGTTTAAGTAAACACATCACAAATATATCATAGAAAACAGGCTGTTTTTGTGGAGGACAGACTCCAATATAATGTAAGTATAAGAGGAGAGTATACTCGATTCACATGATTATATTGACTATATTGTAGTGTCGGAATCAGACTCTTCTGATTCTAGCTGGTCTATCTCACATTGGCGCAAAGGATTGTCGTGTAATGGAATAGCAGTATACTGAACGAAAGCTGAGGATACTATGCTGGAAACGCACTTCTTCAGTATTGGGATAATCATAACGGGTACAACTGATTAATAGGCCGAAAATGATCGTCAGGGTTGTAACTATCCTAGCCAGCCATGCTTCCCACCCGCCCGATGTAAGTCAGGACCACCAGTCCCAGCCACCTGCGTTGGATATGTCATCCGCTTTCATGTCGGCTAACAGGTTGTTAAGATGCAGCACGGTGTCAGTGATGGTCTTGGTGGTGTCGGGAATGTAAGTGCAACAGGAGTCACCGATCATATGACACAGGTCAAGAGCAAATTGGTGCTGCATGAGCATGTTCCTAGAGGCTATTATGAATGGGGGCAATGCCTGGAAGCCCTGCGTCGTCTCGTAAGTGAGGTTCTCTAGCCGAACGTGTAAGGTATCTATGTTATGGGCATTGTTTACTGTACCCCACCATGGGAACAGGCCGCCAAATAATTTAGCTCCAGCGGACGTCAGATCTCTTTTTACCTTGTGGTGGTCGTGGTGTTGGAACTCTGGGTAATGATGTGTCGTGTACATTAAGGACGTGAGGACAGTGACTGCTGGATTCAAATCCACTAGAGTGCATGT